CAACTATTAATTTTAGTTAATATTTAGTGACAGTGGTGAAATGGTATTTTTTGTGTCGGTTTGCAAGATGAAGAGCAGTCTTTGCAGAAGAGAAACGATTGCCAAAAGCCCACAGAGCTGGCCTGTCTCTCAGCTCTGGCTGCGTCCCTGTGCCATGAGCGCGTCTCTTACCTACTGATCTGCTGAAGACAAAAGGATTTTCTTCCTTTCAGAAACTGGACACTTGGAGCTCGCCGGGGTGGCCACACAAAGCTGCCCTGCTGCCAAAGGTATTCTTTTCCTCGGGTTTTTGTTGTTGTTTGGTTTTTTACCCTGGAGAGTAAAGGGCAGAGCAGTGGATTCAGCAGGGGCAAAGGGTGGAATTCGAGACCCAACGGGTGAGCTGCAGGGCTCTCTCCAAATGATGTTGGCTTCAAGGCGCTTTTGCTTGCAAATCCTTCTTCATCCTCAGTGTCAATAAAAACGGAGAGGGAAACAAACTATTTTAGCGGCACAAACGTACCGGGCTCCGCAGGGGCTGGGACGCGATGGGAGGCGGATCCGCGGCTCGACTTTTCTTTTTATTGGAAACGAACGCGCTCACGGACGGGCGACCGGGACGGAGGGCAGCGCTCCGACGCCGCCAGCCGGGCCGTGCGCGCAGCCCTCGGCGCCTCGACAACGGCGGAACGAGCGAGCAGAACAGCCCCGCGTCCCGGGCTGCGCTGTCAGCGGGGAGCGGGGGCCCGCAGCATCGCGGCCGGGGCAGACAGCCGGGCTCCCGCCGCTCCGCGCCTCGTCCCCGCGGTTACCTGAGCCGGCCGAGCGCGGCGAGGCAGGGCGGGGCAGGGCAGGGGCGTCCCGCGGTGCTCGCACGCAGCTCCGCTCCGCGCCTCTCCCGCCTCTCTGTGCGCGGAGCGCCCCGCGGGCGGCACTCCGGCAGGGCGGGCAGGAAGCGCGGCCCGCCCCGCCCCGCCCACGGCCCGCCCCAGCGCTCTGCTGCTCGGACGCTGGAGATAGTGGAAAGTGCGGCCAGCATACGTGGCCAACCGCCTAGAGGCGGGATATTAAAGGAGTTCCCCCTATATCGCATTCCGCCTAAAACGAAAACATCCATCGCGCGTTGTTTCGAGGCTCGCTCCGAGCGTCCGCAGCCCCCTACCAGCCCGACACGGCCAAACCTGAGGGCGGCTGTGAGCCCTCCCCGTTTTCCTCCGAAGGAGTAAAAAAATCACCACGCAGAGGTGATTTTCACTGAAGGCTTCAGCTCCTGGAGGATTTTAGCTCAGAACACAGCGTGGCTCTTCACACACACGAGCCAGCCTCTCTTGTGCCCCCCTCCTCCCGAAGGGGTAAAAGGACCCCAGGTGGCTGCGAGGATCAGCATCTCAGCTGCATCAGGGAGATGGAGGACTTCGTGCCAAAGGGCAGCGCTGCTCTCATGACACCAACTCCTGCTGCTGAGTGCCAAAGCCCCGGTTTTGAAACGGGGTGAGCACCTTTACCATCTCTGAGACTGATGCTGTAACGTGGGCAAATCCCCAGCCTTAAACAAGAGCCAGATAACAAACTGGGCCTTCAACACAGACGTGTTTGTGTACAAACCATGGTACCCTGCCTTCCTCACCACGCACCGCTGCCTTCCCCGACCTGTGCACGCAGCGCAGCCGGACCCTCCTGCTGAGGTCACTGCCAGCTGCGGGCACAGGAGGACAGGCACAGTGTGGTAGCTCCCAGCCCACATTCTTCTGAAGCCACATGGCTTTAGAAAGTAGCCAAAGGGGGATGGAGAAGCAGCTGCAGCACACTCGCAGCAGGTCAGGTATGTTAAGACCTGACTGCAATACGGAGCCCATTAAGCAGCGCCTGCTCAGTAAGGCTTGGCCTAGCGATCCATTTCCAAAGGACTCAGCGTGCCAAAAGCATCCACATGTCAAATCTCTGTGCTGTGAAACTTGGCCTATTGACTTGAATTCATCCAGGCTCTTCGTGTGAGAAGAGATAACCTGGTCCAGCCATCGACCCTTCAGCTGTGCAAAGGAAATGACTCCTTTCCAACATTCACAACTCTTACTGTTTAAAAGAAGAATCTGGAAAAAAAAGTTCAGGAAGTCAAACTTCAGAAATCCCAAATGCAGCCATACATAAACATTGATTCTTTTCCCCTGTAATTGATTTCCATGCACTGGAACACTTTGGCGGAATAAATACAGAAACATATGTAAACAACTCATTAACATCACATGACCTTAGAGTTTGCAAAAAAGAAAAAGAAAAAAAAAAGAAGACAGAACAAGTTAATGAAGCACATATTTGCTAGATGCTGTGGGGTGGATTTGTAAGGGAATTACACAGCTACAGTCAATTAAGGAGTTATAAACTATGCTTCAATCACACATCCTGCCTTCCTCCCACACGCAGCAAGAAAATAGAGTGGGGAGTAAAGAGAGAAGGTAGAGTCATTGGGAGATGAAAATATTGCTTCATTCAGACACTGAAGAGCAGCTAGCCTTGCCCGAGGCACGCTAACCTCAAGTCATTCGCTGCTGTTTATTCTACAGGGCACTAGCTGCTCGTGCTTAGCCCACACACTTGGAGATAACAGCTTTATCGGAGCTGGAAAAGAACAAAGATGCACGAAATGCAGATTCTCTCCCTAACAATCCTGTCCTCCTGCAGCTCCCTCTGCCAGGATCCCGGCACACACAGGCTGGAGGAACGGCTGCCACTGGAGGAAGCCAGCAGTTTCCACACACACATCACGCCACAATGTGGGAATTCAGGAAACGACACAAGAAAGGGGTTCCTAATAACTGTTCCAGAGCACTGGGGCCAATTTATGCAATCACGCAGAGGTCACAGTCAATGTGTTAAAAAGCACAAAAGAGAAGTGTCACAACAGCAGCTATTTCAAAGTAGGAAAATCAATCTCAAGCTTACAAAGCGCTTGGATGACCTGGAATTGCTCCACCTACAATTTTTTAAGAGGTTGTCCTTCACATTCTTTAGAATTCCTCCATCTTAAAGTTCCTCCCTCCAGGAATCTCTGCCGCTCTGTGTCCTTTGTCCACAGCAGCTGGAGCTCAGGAAGCTGCTCACATTATCCCTCGCCTACAGGCAGGAATCCCCACCCGATCCCACATCCATTCAGCACGGCGAGAGGGGTGCAAATTAATTTCTGTTCATCCCTGGTCCTGTGCCAATTTCACAGAGCTTTTCTTCTGGTATGTAAAAAATAAACCCTTAACAACGCTGAGAAGTGCCAGGGAGCTGCTGGACCAGACAAGGCATTCCCTCCACAACCAAGGCTGGGAATTCTGTGTCCAATCTGCAAATTCACTGTTGAGTGAAATAATAGCCCTACATTAAATTCATGTTCGCATTAGGTGCAAAGCCAGTTCTCATTCACTGTCAGGGGGCAACGACAGATAAGCATTCATACACCACCACCAGAATCGACCATTGTAAGACAACGTTTATGGAAATGCTAGAAAAACTCTACTTTTCAAAACACAAGAACAGGAAGAGTTAGTAAGTGCTCCTCTGCCCATCTCTCTAAGCTCTTAGTTACAGAATCACAGAACACTCGAGGCAGGAAGGCACCTCTGGAGATTACCCATCCCAACCCCCTACTCAAGAAGGATCCCCTGGCACACAGCTCAGGGTTGTGTCCGAGTGACTTTTAAGGAACTCCAGGGAAGAAGAATTCCTCTAACTCGTGAAACTTGGCCTCTTTTCATGGACTGTTTTGGAAGCAGGTGTGTAACTGGAAGAATGCTGAACAACAGCTAGCTACATCAGAAACAAATGAAATGTTTCAGCTTTGCTCTACCTGCATTCACAGTCCAGTCCTCTACACTGTATCAGCTTGACAAAATAAGGGCTTCAATACCAGTCTGGGGCAAAGAGATTTCCTTACATGATCCTTATTCTCCTGCTGTAGGGCCTGGACGCCTTTAATGTCTATCACGTGGTAAGATCCTTGATGCATGAAAGCTGACCATCTCCCTTGTCTCTTAAGGCTTTTCTTTGTTATGATTTTCTAGAGATCTCTCCTTAAATTCTGATGAAATGAATTAAGAGATTCCCTAAACTTCCAAAGGATTTGGATCCGAGTGGCATGCATGAATCGGGCAAAGAGGCCCGAACTTCTACATGGTCTTTGTTTGCTCTCGATGACTAAAGAATGTATGTAATCACATGAGAGAGAGATGTACAGCAGATCCTGCACAAAACCATTTAATAATGCTGATATGGCCAAAACGATTATGAGGGGAAAAAACATGCCTCATTTAATACCAAAAATCCTAACCACTTTCACATCTCCAGGACTAGTAAAGGTGCCAATACATTGATAACCCCACAGAAACAAGGGAGGCAGGCAGCATCCCTTTTTGATTTCAAGTTTTGCAACTCATTTTTGATATTACTGTCAGAATCAGACTGAGACATGGAAGAGGCCCAACTAAAAGTAAGCTTTGGCTGGGACAAATCTCTCATTGCCTTGGGAGATGCTAAAATCAGTCCGAGTGATACGATGAGCGTTGCACAGATGCTAGAGCTCTGCTGCCTGCAGAAACAGGGCCACCTTCTTCCACTAGGCAGAAGCTGTGCTGAATAGTAAACAGATTACTTTGAACATGAAATAAAGAGAAGGAATAAAAGGAGAGAGAATGCTATGTATAAAAGAGGGCAAATGCATTGGAGCAAACCATAAAATTCTGTTAAATAATTGCTTCAAAAAGTGGCAATTACAGTTTTTCTGTGTATAATGTTCTTCTGAAAGCAGTCTTCCTCCTTTAGTGAGCTACAGAAAGATTCATAATTAGAGGCGGCAGCAAGATATCAAGTAACAGTTCATTAGCATTTTATGTTAAAAAAAACTAAAAATAGAATTACAGAACAAAATCTGATTTGATTTTACACTATTTCAGAAGCTTCTTCCAGGATTCTGGAAGAGCACCAGCACTCTCTGCTGGTCATCTTTGTTCAATAGTTATCTAGAGGAGAAATGAGGCAAGAAAATGCATTGTTTTTTAATGTGAAATGCCATTTTTGCTGTAAGAGGATGATTAATTAGATCCCTACCAACTGAGCAAACAGCAACTAAGAGCTAGTTATGTTTCTGGAAACAATACAGTCATTACTAAGAAGCGTATTTACTACAGTCAATCATCGTTTGCTGGAATAAATTTCACTGTTGCAAATAAACATCTGATGTTTAATGCTTTGCTTTGCAGAAAGCACTTCTGCTGAGCTGCAGCACAAAGACAAGTTGGTGTGAGAAGTTCCTATGATGCCAGATCCCTTCCTTGGCTCCTTCCTGACTTTCCATCAATTTTACAGCTATGCCAAGAAAAACAGTTCTTTTTAAAGAAGACCTAGTGCAGCACCGGCATCTCTCCCTGCAGCTACCGTGCTTCAATCCAAGCAAACCTGCTCTGAGCCCATCCTTGTTACACTCCTCCCCAAGAAGACTTCACTCCCTCTCCCCACAGGCACCCACTCGTTGCCTGCACCCCATGGGCTACCTCACTGCATCCATGCCAGAGACTGCATGGGGCAAACACGTCAATAGCAAAAAAAATAACAATAAAAGCAAATTCAAGTACCTAAGTGACAGCTGTCCCAGTTTCCAAACTATGTACAGATCAGGCATCAGCTAGAAGGGTTAAGACTGGCAAATTGAATCCATGTGCAGCTCATGAAAGTGTGGGAAACAAAAGAGACAATGTGAGTTAAGGACAGAGTATTCATTAGCAAAGGGCTCAAGTTTCTTGGCTTTTGCTGCCCTGCTTCCCGATGGCTATTTTTTTCAAGGTAGCTTTTTGTTCTTCAGTTTTGTGGAAAGACATTATACTCGAACTAATGAACTAAGGCTCAGTACATGTGGAACTGCTTACAATAATTTGTCTTTTTAATTCCTGGGGACATGAAAGCAATGTCAGAGATAGTTTTCTGCTGGGCTACAGTGGGCTTTGGGTCAGAGCTTTATATGACATAGCTGATCCAAAGACCCCACACTCATCTACAAATACTCATTTACACTATGGTATTAAATAGGGAAATCTGATCTACAGAGAGAGGTCTCAGTCACTCAGAGCAGAGCCTGGAGCACCAGCCTATCCACAGCCAAGTGAATGATGGAGGAGCACAAGGGGCATTGGCGAGTACCCATGTTAGGTCTGCACTCATCCACCACTTGGGAGACACTCAGAGCAAGCACGCCAACCTTCTAGTGCCAGGGCTTCAGGAGCAGCTCCATCTTGCATAGGACATAAATACCATGTTAGGATCTCTTATTGAGGTCCCTATAGGTCAGATAAGTATTGAAAATTGAGCCTCAAAGTCCATCCTTTGGTTCCCCAACAAAGTTCAATTCAAGCAATCCTTACCGGGGAGTTGATTTGCTGGCGGAGTTCTGGAAAAAGCAGTTGAAATAGTATACTGGAAATTGAAACTAAGGTTCTATTTCACTGTTTAAGGCAACAGATATCTATCTACCAAGTTCAGCAAGATGTGCTGCATTTTCCTTTGACTATTTTAGTTTTTGAAGTAAAAAGTAAGGTAAAGGGTTCCCAAATTAGAGCAACTGCTGAGAGCCCTAAAAAGAACAAACAAGGTGGGAAAGTAGGTAAGTTTTAACACAATCGTAAGTCAAAGTCAGAAATAATTGTTCTAATGCATTCTGTTCCTGACAAATCTCAGCTTCAGAAGTGCTTCACATGCACTGAGAGTCCTAAGGAACTTTGAAAGCGTTTAGGGATCACTTGGCAGAGCAGAGCCAGCAGCAGCAGCCAAATGCCAAGCAGAGCATTCTAAAACACTGTGTGAGGAACAGATTCCTGCCTAAGGCATCAGAGCAAGTTTCCCATCGTGCAAAACAGCTAAAGGTTTCAGACCTCAAGTTTTCTACTTGTTAAGGAAGTTAATATTTTGAATATGACAGGACTCAGCAGGAGACCATTGATCTACATTAAATGAGAAGATGCTAAAAGCCCCAAGAACTTGAGTAACTGTAGGAAATTAACATGCTTTTTTTTTATTTATTATATTAACCATACAGCCAGACTACTCTTAAACATTCTCTTTCCACATTCATATCCACACCTTTACCTTTGTACCATTTGAATTCTGCATTCAGCTCTGTCCCTTGATCATTAATGCAGACTCCTAAGCTTCAGACTTCAAAGAAATGCACGCGTAAGAGTCACAGGCACAGGACTGGAACAGCGTCAAAGCCGCCCTGTGCAGGAACCTCCATCTTCTGTTTGACTTCACTGTACAAATACTTCGTTCTATCAAGACTGGGAAATTCAACGATTTAAGTAGGGCTTCCCACAGATTAAGTTAATAAGGGAATCCAACAGTGCCTCATCTCCTTCCGCCTTCCAAACACTGGTAAATGAAAGGAAATAAGAATGTCTCCTGGGGTAAGAGAAAGACGTGAGCTCTCTACAAATGTGCAAGGGAAGAAACCAAAGGCTTCTTTGTGTGTATTCGTACTTTTCCAGGAATCCTCTCCCCTCGCCTCTCCCATAAGTGGCACCAAGTTTTTCTAAGAATGTTATCACATGCAAAGGCAAAGCCTTGTCCGTGAAGCACTGCAATTGGCACCCAGGACTGTGCTGGTTTAGTTTTCTTCCTGAGTCCTTCTAGACCTGCTCTTCCAAGGTTTTCAATCGGCCATCTGCCCCATACACTGTTTCTAATGTTACACTGTTCCTTCCTTTGACCCTTCCCCCTTTCTCCTGCTCTCATCCTCCCTCTCTGCAACTCCCAGTGCTCGCATGCCCCACTGCCTTACTGCTGTGGGTGCCCTCTTGCCACATGCAGCCCATGTTCAGTATCACCAGTACTTCCTAGAGCTCCAGCCATCCCTTACTATTCTGAGCTCCATGCATATAAAACAATTACAGTTTAACACAAAACATTTGGGTTTGACAAACAAAGAAATTACGGCACAGATAGATCAAAATCAAACCTCTCCTAAGCCCTAACGGACTCAGTTAATGTAACTTGCAGTCAGCACCCCTTTGAGTTTGAAAATTACACCAACATCTCTTGGCTGAGACTAAACCTCTGCAAGAGATAATCCAAAAGGAGTCTGGCTGTTTTAACTTTCTTTGTAGCTGCTTGTGTATTCCCACCTTTCAAGGAAATTACCCAACACCAAACTAACACAGGTGTGATTTCTCCAGTAGTAAGAAAGCTGACATAGCTCTTCAGATTTTGCCATTTTCACCTACAAGATAGTCTGCTTGCTCTCTGAATTAAGTTATATGTTACAACAGTGTAGTGTGAGAAGCTGTTATAGATGCACTTCAAATGTCTTATGATGCCCCACAAAACATCAGGCTAAAGTGACAATACTGATGGTAAAATGTATTACGACTTACGGAGAAGGTGAACTAGAAAGTCACACTCAGAAATTTCTCTGCTAATGAGAACATTGCAATTAGGTCATCACTGAATGCTGTGTAACCAGGAATCAGAGCACAAATATTGCCACAGAATAATTAATATGTGACAGCGGGTTCTTGGAATGAGAACAGGAATTTCACCCACACAGCCCTACTGTTGAATTATACAGATAAACAGCAGTCCTGAGATAGTCAGCTTCCAGAGGAGGCACGCAGGTAAAACACAGAGATCCAGTTTAGTACGAGCCATCTAGAGCCTAAACTCCCAGACATGAAAGTTCACATCCAACTTTAATGAAAGATAGCGTTCAGAGTGAGTTTTGGGGTCATTTCTATTTAGGTCACGTATGAACTTGATCCAGGACACAACTTTCTTTAACTATCTTCTGGACTCCAGTTTGAGCAGCATTTCTGATTTCCAGTAATTATTTCTCTTGTGCTAAAAACCTACATTAATTCCACCTCTAATTTTACTAAGTTCAGACTGCGGGTTTTGGTAGCTCTCTAAACACCAGACCTTTATTCAAACCAGAATGCTTTTTGTCACAGACACCCTGACCCTCTCCCTCTCTGAGGTCCTGCACAGCCACCTGGCAGTACCTGCTGCTGGGGCACACAGGTCAGGAGGGCAAAGAGCTGCAGGCTAATGGGACACTGCTCTGATCAGGGAGGTTAGGTTACAAGGCCATGCCTTTGAAGACTGGCTTCTTCAGTGTGGCCCTCTGGTTTACAACTGGGATTTCTTTTAATTAGACTGTACTATTAATTATTTATGACCTATATTATCTGCAGAAGCTGCCCAAAGCTAAAAGATATCAGACTTAATGAGGATAATTGGAATAGTTACTTTTTTTTTTTTTTAACCTCTTTTGTAAAGCACCTTGGGCCTTACTGATTAGAGGTGCTAGGACAGGATTAGACGCTTAATGAAAAACTATTATTAAAATGTGGAATAAGAAAGAGGACTGAATTAAAATGGAATTTTCTATTTTCTGTTGCATTAGGGACGAGCAGAGGATTAGAGGTGACACAGAAACTTTTAACCTGAAAATCAAATGGGCATCTTCTTTATGCTCCTCATGGTGGAGGACTCCAGGCAAAGATGCCAAGGGCCAGAGCCTGGGACCAGATGTTGTGAGATGTGAAAACAACCCCCAGGCACCTGTGCCATGGAAACACTGGGTATCCTGGCACCTACTGGTGGTTCCACTGCATTCTGGCTACCTACAATGTTGAGCAAAAGCAACAGCTGCCACGTTCCTGCATGACTACAGATTCAGCCTTCCGGCCTTCCACTCTCTCAAAAAGATATCTTGGAATTGGCACAGATGGGACTTGTGGCTCTGCTCCCACCATATGGTGAGTCTCACTGAGGATATTTATATGCCTACCTTAATCAGCCTGCCTATAAAGGCCCAATCTTTCTACCTGAGGCAGCACAGGGATGGCTGAACCCAGACCTCAGGGGGCTGCTGGAGCCTCATATCTCTAAGGGACAGGGATGCACAGCTTCCAACACTTCTGGGATCATCACCCACAGACCGATATTTTCTTCTCTCGGGGACCAAAGTAGGAGGGTTTTGAGTCCTTTCTGCTTCATTTGGGGTTCAAGCAGAGGCGGATCAGCAGGTGCTGTGGGCCAGCAGGAATGGGAACGGTGGGCCAGGAGGAACTGGGGCCACAGGACTCCTTTGTGGGACTGCAGGAGCAAAGCGTCTCCTAGCACTACAGAGACCCGAAAACAGACACGAGAAGGGCCAGAACAGCTCTGTTCTCCCCTTCACGCACACACTCACTCTGACCGCAGAGCAGGTACTCACAGCAAGCCCTCACAGCCTTCTCCTCTCCTCGACGCTTTCCCAGGAGTCTTCCTCAGGACTCGCAACCTCGGGCTGAGCCCAGTCTCTGCCTTCCCTCCCCGGGGCAGCGGAGAGCCGCGGCCGCCCGCGGGGCCCGAGGCGGGGCAGAGCGGCAGCCGTGCCCTCAGGCCGGGCGCGGGGCGGCGGGCAGCCCCCGAGGAAGGGCCGCGGCCGCGAGGCGGGAGCCGGCGCCGCGTTCCCCTCTCCCTCCCCCCAGCGGCCCCTCCGCCGGCGGAGCCCCGCGCCGCTCCTCTGCACCTGCCCGAGCCCGGCATCCCGGCGGGCAGGGCGGCCGCGGGCCCCTCTGAGGCGCGGAGAACCGGCCTCACCGCGGCGGCCCGCGCCTCCCTCGCTCCCTCGCTCCCTCCCTTCCCGCTCCTTACCCGGCGGGCGCCTGCCCCGGCGGCCGCCCGCTCATCCATCCTGCCGCTTTCCCCGCCGAGGCGACAAAGCCGGCATGGCAACGGGAGGCGCCGCGCGGCTCTGGGAGGCGCCTTCCCCAGGTTGGGTGGTTAACTTTCACCAGGCGGCGGCGGCGGCGCCCGGCATCCCCCGCTGGGCCGAGCCCTGCAGTGGCTGCCGGGAGGCGTAGTCCGTCCGCCCCGCCTCGGCGCCGCGGGCTGCGGGCACCCGGCCGGCACGGCGCTGCCTGCTGGGCTCCGTCGGGCGGCGGCTTCTCGGAGAGCGGAGGGACGGCGGGTCCGCGCGGGACTCAAAGCTGAGAAGCCCTTCCCAAAACGCCGGGCGAGCCGTCGTTACCGCAGACGACGCGGTGAGGTACGCCAAGGAGGGCGCTCGGAGGGAACAAAAGGACCCAGGGCTCGCCCGTAGCTCAGGTGAGTGGGGTGGCTGGGCTCTCAAAATGGCTGCTGCCCACCGGAGGCCCCTCACAGAGTCGCAGAACTGCAGGGGTCGAAGGGACCTCGGGGCACCATCGGGTCCACCCCCCTGCTAGAGCAGGTTCCCCGCAGTGGAAGTGTGCTCCCATCGACCTGAGTCCCACACCTGAGATCTTCGTTAACAGCGCTGAGATCCCCTCTCAGCATTCTCTCCTCCAGGCTGAACAGCCCCAGGCCTCTCAGCCTTTCCTCGATGCTCCAGGCCCCTCTTCATCTTCGTGGCTCTCCACTGGACTCTCTCTAAAAGTTCTTTGCCTTTTATGAACTGGACACAGAGCTCCAGATGTGGCCTTACCAAGGCAGAACAGAGGGAGGAATCGCCTCCCTTGTCCTGCTGACTGTGCTCTTTTTAATGCTCCCAGGTTATCATCGGCCTTCTTGGCCACCAGGCCACACTGCTGGCTCATGGCCACCCTGTTATCCACCAGCACACCCATATCCTTCTCTGCAGAGCTCCTTTGCAGGAGATCAGCCCCTACCTGTACTGATGCATGCAGTTGTTCCTCCTCAGCTGTAGGACTCTGCGCTTGCCCTTGTTCCTCTATGCCCAGTCCAGATCTTGCTGAATGTCAGCACAGCGTTCTGGTGTGTCAGACACTCCTCTTAGCTTCATATCTTTTGTTGGAAAGGCACAAGTTTTGATGGCTGTGTGGTTATAAGGTAATAAGCTTTGCTACAGCTGACCTCTGGCCAGCCAGGCCTCCAGGCATTACAAAGCTTCTGCCCCGCTCTGCCAAATGAAGGCTGATGTCCCCTCCTGTTGCCTCGAGTCACCAGTGCTACCTATGACCCTAGGTTTCATTACTGGTTACTTTTTCAAATGCTATCAATTACACTTTTTTCTACACAGAAACACTTTCTCTACGTCCTGCTATTTACAGCAGATTTTACATGATACATAGGGACATCAATAAGAAAGTGCATGTTTTTGTGCTTGTTATTATTTTACTGCCGATTGCAAATTTAGTCTTTCACCTTGACATTTGATGATCTCAGCCATCTTCACATTTTTTATTTCACCTGGTTTATTATCAGTCAAATCAGCTAAATATACTACCTTTATCACATTGCAAGGTTTCAGCAACCACTTCATCTAATAACCTCTCTTCTATTTCTACCCAGCAGCATTGCCGCAAAACATTCTCAAAAGTACTGAGCACTTAAAAGCAGAACTGTTGGAGATGCGTATCTAGAAAAATTATCTCATCATAGAACCATTATGTTTGGAAAGGACCTCTAAGATCATCCAGTCCAACCATCTACCTACCACTAATACTGCCCACTACTGTGTCCCTCAATACCACATCTACACATTTCCTGAACACCTTCAGGGACAGGCTCAACCACCTCCCTGGGCAGCCTGTTCAATGCTTTACTACTCTTTCTGAGAAGTTGTTTATTGTAATATTCAACCTGAACCTCCCCTGGCACAACTTAAAGCCATTCCCTCTTGTCCTATTGCTATTACCAGGGAGAAGAGGCCAACCTCCACCCCACCACACCTCCTTTGGGGTCTTTCTAGAGAGTGATAAGGTCTGCCCTGAGCCTTCTCTTCTCCAGATGGAACAGTCCAAGTTCCCTCAACCAGTCCCCGTAAGACTTGTGCTCCAGAGGCTTTGAGGCCTCTGTTGTATTGTGGGGCCCAAAACTGAGCACATTACTCAAGGGAGGGCTGAGTACAGGACAACCACCTTCCTGGTTCTGCTGACTACATTATTCCTGGTATGAGCCAGGTACGCAAACAAAAATAATCCAGAGAGAACAATGTGATTCAGAAGGATGAAAAACAGAGTAATGGAAGCACTTCTGAATACCTTGAAAATATTTTACTACTGCAGTAGTTACTAAAAAATGTTACAGGCTAAGGTTAAATATCTGGAAATTGTTGTTAATCAGCTGCTGGTCATCAAATGTACAGCTTCTGCAGTCTTGTGCAAGGATGCTTCATCCCCTTTGTTTGACATCTAAGCATCTGTCTAGTTTTGCTGTTGGTTGTTCTGAGCACATGGACCCCAAGAGTGGCAATAATTAGTATAAGACATGGAAACAAACAAACAAAACATTCTAAGACATGAGTAGCAAGCATCCGAAGCCAGGTGCAAAAATATTTTTAACTGCATACATCTGTGTTCATGGCACATTACAACTCCTTGCCATATTTGATTACAGATGGCTTTGTTTTCTTGCTTTTGATGAAGAGGAGGAAGCAAAAAGAGGAGGTAGTGGCCACACACTGGCCTTTCACTGTAAATACCAAAGGAGATATGGAGGGTAAGTCTTGTTTTTCCTCCATGGGGAGTCAGCAACACAGGGTTCCAAGAGTGAGACTAAAATGAGCCATGCTCTAACAAGGCCTTGTTTGCCAGGGTCAGACAAGAACGGACCGTTATAAAACATGGTGGAACATTTGTTATTGTAGTACTGGATTTCCAAAATCCATAGTCTTTTTGTGGCTGACAAGCTCACTCTTTTCTTTGCCTCGTTACTGTAGCTGTCGGAGGTCTGCACCCCTGCCTGGAAAACATGAGCAGCAGCTAGAAAGCAATCCTAGCAAAAATCTGCATCATTCATGCGTAATCAGACAATGCTTGGGAGATTTACAAAGGAGGGAGGGAGGAGAAGAAAACTCACAGTGCTGCAATCATTTACATTATTTCTAGCTGTTTTGCAAGTGTCACTTTTAGGTTTAAAATGCAGTAAGTATAATTTTCATATATAACTTTGTCAGTGCTTTAGCTTGATTGGGTTTTAATTTGCATCCTGCGGTGACCAAGTAACATTTGGCAAATAGACCACGTCTGTTTATAACACATACCTCCATTTTGTCTTGGCAGTACTGTATATATACGTACTTTAACTTGAAAGCATACTCTGTATTGCAGCTTACTGCTTACCTCAGATTCTCTCCACAGCTCATTCCGGCCGCTCTGTTCAGCTCAGGCCACACCTAACACCCAGGATGGCAGCATGATACTACTGCAGGGAAGCCACTGGGTGTAACTGCTTTACACGTTTCTGCTCAATGATCCAGGAGGAAGATACACAGGTAGCTCATTTGAAGCACTGCATTCTTGTAGTTCATAAAATTATAGAACTGCCTAGGTTGAAAAGGACCACAATGATCATCTAGTTTCAACCCCCTGCTATGTGCAAGGTCGCCAACCAGCAGACCAGGCTGCCCAAAGCCACATCCAGCCTGGCCTTGAGTGCCTCCAGGGATGGGGCATCCACAACCTCCTTGGGCAACCTGTTCCAGTGTGTCATCACCCTCTATGTGGAAAACTTCCTTCTAATATCTAATCTAAACCTCCCCTGTCTCAGTTCAAAACCATTCCCCCTTGTTCTGTCACTATCCACCTTGTAAAAAGCTGTTTCCCTCCAGTTTATACACTCCTTTCAAGTACTGAAAGGTCATAATGAGGTCTCGCCGGAATCTTTTCTTCTCCAAGCTAAACAATCCCGATTCCCTCAACCTTTCTCCATAGGAAAGGTGCTCCAGCCCTCTGATCATCTTAGTGGCCCTCCTCTGGACCTGATCCGAGAGCTCCACATCCTTCCTGTATGCAGTACTCCAGATGGGGCCTCACAATCACCTCCCCTCCCTGCTGGCCACCCCCTTTTCCAATGCAGCCCAGAACACAGTTGGCCTTCCGGGCTGCACACACACACTGCTGGCTCATGTCCAGCTTCTCATCTACCATGCCCCCCAAGTCCTTCTCCACATGCTGCTCTCATGATCTTTGCCCAGTTTGTATAAATACCTAGGATTGCCCTGGGATTATCCAAACTGTGTTTTACTATGCTTGTTTTAGCGCTTTTAGGATCACATACATCAACAGGAGTATTGCTGTTCTGTTTGCATACTTAAGGGGGAAGGTAAAAATCTTGTGTTCTTACCTGCCTGTCTTCAAACATTCCAGAATATTTAGGTTAGAGACATTAGCTGTCTACTATGCAGCCAGTTCTCTCTACAAGAACCACATTTTAAGATTTGCCCATTTTTTACTACTCCTGCTATTTAAATTTTCATCTCTCTGACTTGAAAGACTTGAAAGCTTTGATGTATAATAACTTCCTTACCAACAAAGTTCACACTGATGATGACTGCATGCTTGCAGATCCATGGGATAAAAAAAAAAAAAAAAAAAGATGTTTAAAAACATCATATTCAGTGCAAGAAGGAGAAAGATCTGACTCCCATTGCTAGAATAAGGGTATTTTAATGTAAAATTGGAAAGAAAGACTACATACCAGCTGTCAGCATTTTAAATATGTTTATTCAGCAGCTATTACAATCAGCCTCCAAAAAATTGGAGTCCCCTTTTGTTTCTGAACCGTGTCAAGTGATGGAAATGCCTGCTAGGAACATTGAAGAAGCTACACAGTGCACTCCTTTCTGAGAAACAGACATGTCTAAGAGGGATTAATCTCTTTGAGAAGGCAAAATATAAATATATACACTCTAAATCCACAACAACAGTTTAAACGCACTACATTAATTCAAGTGGGATAAGAGTGAACAAATCCAGATCATGTAAACTGCAGCCATAAGATATCTCTGCTGTCTTCTCAAATCCTGTCCAGTTTCGGTTTACATTCTGTGATCTGCCCATCGCAGAGTTGAAATACAGAAGCATAGAAGTGTTGAAGTGTTGAATCTCAGGGGCTGTGCACAGTAACAGGAACTGGGGTGATAAGCTGTTCTCTACACGTTGCTCAAGGCATCCACGCCAGGAAGAACCTTACCTGTGAGTAGTTGAAAAATTCCAATAAAGTTCAGAAAGAGAAGTACTTGGCTTTATGCTTACAACTGCAATGTTTATGCATATTCAAAAAACAGGAACAAACAAAATCCCCCAAAAAACACCTCAAACTATCGGTCACATTGTTTCTACACACAGTCCTGCTGCTGTTTGTGGCTATCACGACGTATGGGTTGAACTGTTCCACACAGTAAATACATTTTAGGGTTGTAGTGAGTATCCAGAGCATATCTGCAGACAGATTCTTAACAGCCCACAAATACTTTAAGATATTCTTCCATTAAGTTTAATGGCAAACAGATTTTTCGATAGATCTGGGAAGTTGTTGCGTATTTCTTTTAACCCCCAGCAGCACGTAGACAGGATTTTGGAGTGGTGGAAATTTAATGAATGAATTAAGAAAAATAAACATGATCTTCTACAAGACTTGAGTCTTCTATTGTGACTAGAACACCTGTGTTCAGATAATTAGATGTATCATTGCAAAGGGCAAAAGTAAGGAACATGCTCATCTTTGGGTATGGGTCCCCAAATTACTGAAGTGCGATGTTTTCTAAAGCATTTTCTTAGCTTTTTGTTATCCTTCTTTGATAACGAAGAACATTTTCTTACCCCTCACCCTCCCTCCCCCCAAAAGAAAACTACTTTTGAATGCTCGAGCTGTACAACAGTACTGAATTTTAACACTGTTCACAGCCCACTAGTTGTTGTAGTAGCTTTTTTTTTTTTTTTTAAATCTTCAGAAGCTTCTCTAATTAGCTAGACTTCCGTTACATTTAAAAGATCACACACAAGCCCACATTTTGGGCCAAAACTTAGACGATTTTGTCCTTTTGAATAAATCAGTTGCACAGTGCTTCCTTCTAGCCATCTGCATTCTTTCCCTTTACCACCACTCCCTAGGCAACAGAAACAAAAGCTCTGTCTCACATACAACTGCTGGAAACCAACAGCTGCAATACAGTTTGTTGCAGTTTCTTGCAGTTTCTCTTCCATAAAGACGCTGTCAGTATTAGATACTTTATGCGTATTGGGAAACAGATAATTACCAGAGGAAATGAAAACTCATTTAGAGAACAATGTAACTCATTGGAAGAACTCTAAATCCTCACCATTTTGGACTCTAAGTACTCTTGTGCAGGTTTGTTAAGTGATCGCTAGAGGGCTCCCCAAACCAGGGGATTTCCAACAATGCTCTCAAAAGGAAGCTTCTAACCAAAATTTGAAATTATTCTGATCCCTAACCCAATCACAGCATTGCAAACAGTCTGGTTAGCACGCCTCAGAGAATCATCAATAAACAAGGAGCTACTCTGAAAGCTGTACTACTTTCTACTACAGGTTTTATTGCTGTCTGGGAGTGGCAATCTATGCTCTTTACAGGAATGCTCCATTTTCTTTCCTCTTCCTCTATGTGGAAAAAAAAAGAGCTAGGAGGATCTTATATGCATCTTCATTTGTTGAAACAAAGAGGACAGTTATTCTGTTGTTGTGCCTTCCTGAATATCAACACAAGGCAGAGCACCCAGAACTACCTCATTTGCTCAAGCAAGTCAAAACAAAAGAACAGTTACCCTCTAGCAGTTCCAGGCTGGCACCACCTCCAGTGCTGACATGGCTAACTTTATCTTCAGTGTTCCACTTCGCACAGCATGTAGCAGTATCTCCACCACCTGTAGTACAAGAAAAAGAAAAAATGAGCAAGGCAAGAAATTCAATTTGTTCAGCTTAAGGGACACAGCGTTGCTACGGGCTGGTGGTGCTCCCAAATCCTCAACATTAGTTCATACAGCAGTTTTTAAAGTCATGTCTGCAAGCTGAGGGGGAGATGAAAGCATTGCTATAGAAGAACGATTTGCCAACTATTTTTAATGTGGTGCTTAGCAGGCACAAACTTACTTGCTGCTTTTATAAAGACAAGAACAATCACGTGCAACTACTTACCAATAATAGTGATGCAGCCCTTTCCAGTTACTTCCACTACTTTGTCCATCAAGGCTTTGGTTCCTTTGGAGAACTTGTCCCATTCAAAGACTCCAACTGGACCATTCCACACTATTTGCTTGGCTCTTCCCACAACTTCAACAAACTTCTTAACACTTTCAGGGCCACAGTCCAAGCCCTATGACAAGTAAGAAAATTCAGAGATAAGATTTCTGGCAACACTCATCTAGAAACACCAGTGCCTTACTGATGGGATCCTCAAATGCTTTTTTCCCCCTCCTCTTTCATTTGACACTGAAGCTAACAAGACTCTTGGAAGGCCTGATGATGCTGATTTTGTGCCCCCAAATTTGCTGCTAGTTTAGAAACAGCAGACTAATCACAAAGCAAGAGTTTCTCTAGGCACTGAATACCAAGGAATAGAGATCTGCCAGAAGTTGTTTCTGTGGGGTGGCATCTGGTGTGGTATTTGTATTCCAAGTACAAATAAGTCATTAAAAAAAATGAAAATCAATGTCAGATGCATGAAGCCTTGCCTAGAAACTTTTGCAAACTCTAAGTTCCAGTCAAATAAAAGGGACTTACACCCCATTTAGAACTGAAAGTTTTAGAGGAATTTTGCTGTTTTGATCCAAATCCCACAAAAGCGACTTTAAGACTTAAAATTATGTCAGGAAAAACCACAGGGTTTTCATTTTGTGAAACAAAAATATTTTGTGCAGTTAGACTGCCTTCAGAAACATTTGCAAAGGATCACAATTACTCTTATAATTCCGATAAGAAGCGTTCTTCTCACCCCAGTGCTTCCTGTTACTTTTTCTAGTCCCTTGTCTATTAAAACCTACCATCCAGCCAGCAGGAATGCCTGAAGCCACAGTGGCTTCCCCAGTCTGTGCATGCTCATCGAATTTGTCTGCAGTGATGAAGTCAACCGGCAAGGTAATCTTCACACCGTTCTTCTCTGCCTTGGCCATCAGGTCCTTGACAATTTTTGATCCCTCTTCATCAAACAGAGAGTTGCCAATCTACAAAATAATTATGTGGAAAAAATAAAAGAAGCACCTGTTTAGCTACTGGGCATTATATATGAGATGAACAGCAGTCAAGCTGTTCAGTCATACTGTTCAGAAAGCAATTCTGGAGAACTGTATTAGAGCACTAAGACATACACAGCAAGCCAATTTTTGCAAATAGGCTGTTGAGCAATTTCTGGATACTCCCTACTCTCTATATGGTATACTCTCTAGCTATATATATATGGATCATCCTTTACTGGAAGCAGACAATTCTCTTTTCATACCTGCATGTTGTTTAATACTTTGAGAAAGGTGAATGCCATTCCACCACCAATGATCATCTCGTTGACTTTATCTAACATGTTACTGATCAGCTGGATCTTATCCTGAACTTTAGCTCTGGAAAAGAAGAAAAGGAAAGAATGAACAGTG